AAGAAGGCGCAGGCATACTCGAGTGAGACGCCCAAGTGGATACGGAAGTATTTGGAGAACGAGTATTCTCCGAAGGTGGGCAGAAAGCCCTCTGCCACCGGCAATCAGCAGATTGTCAAGTCGAATCGCAGGAGCAGCCGCAGGAAGAGCTCGCTGGAATCGATTGAGACGATGACGAAGAAGCCAGAGGAGAAGATCCGCTCTAAGTCCGCCAGCTGCGAGGAGAGGACTAAGGATATTACGGAGCAGAAGGGCGTGAGGGAGACCTACGTGAGGATCGTGCCATCCAACAATGCCCAACAAGAAAATAGGTATGAAGTTGGCGTGGAAACTACCGCGTCCTCGTGGACGAAAACTGATGGTAAGGGTCTCTATGGTGACGACACCGATACGGACGATTCCACATCGATCTAAACGATGAGAGGTGATGTCACATGTCATCGCCACGAGATGAAATCTGGTTCATAAGATCGCTTTGATTGCTGTTGCCAAGCTTTACGAGTTAGATCTTGAAGAAACGAAGAGAATTCAATTATTTTGATTAATCAATCTCGGAAAAAACGGAAAATGTATTACAAACATACAGACTTTTTACTACTTAAAAAAATGTCAATAGCAGTTTTTACGTCGTTGTAAAAATTTGCATTAATAATGAAAATGATCGGAGCGATTAAACTGATTCAAGTTTTAAAATTTTAAACGGATGTTTCAGTCACCACAAGATTAATAATACATTGGTCATTATCGTTTTCACAGATACATCAATTAGTATAACTAATTAAATATCGTCATTTAATATTTGTTTGAATAATTAATTATTCAACAAATATACTCAACAAAAATTCAAAAAATTCTAAAAAAAATCCTCCATTATTATTTTACGAATTCTTAAATTTTTGATTTTAAAATTTCCATATGAATTTCCATATAAATGAGAATGCGAAAACTTAATGAGAAATTTTGAATCAAAATATTATCGTTGTGTAAAATTTTTGTACGATGAAAATTTTCCAGTTTAAATTTACACTGCTATGTTAGACACTGAAGAGAGATGTACACTGCATGTATCTCAAATCAGTGAAACGAGAGTAGTATAAGTCAGACCGTATACCGCGATCAAGGCAGACACGAGGAAGATCGACGCAAAGAAAACATAAAAGATGATCTCGAACAAAAATCTCGAACAAAGATATTTTGTACTTAAATGAGCTGCACTCGACGTTTCGTCTGACGGGAACCAGAAATAAAAAACCAAATGCAGAACACCTATTTTTGCACGAACAGAGAGGACCACGATACACGCGATACTCCGCATGCGTTCAGCCTAAATGATACTCATATCTATGCTTCACGACTTTCACGATCCCAAAATAATTTTTGCTTTGTATATATCTCGAATGTTCAAGAAGGAAGCCAGGAAAGATATATATAGGGCGATCGAAGAGACTCGCGATGCCGAACAATTTTTTTCTCATTCCTCGTAAAAGTTAGATCTCGGGTTTTCGATCCATGTCCTTTTCAATCGAATTTCCAATCGCGTAAGACCGTTCGATCGTTCTGCACAAAATGTGTATTTTGTGCACTATTTTTATCAAACTTGTAGGGACTACGTGTAAAAACAGTTACCTTGTACATATATCAATGGAGAGTTATAATATACTGCTGGATGTCGACTGTTGCATCGTTACAGTTGAATTTGTGAAATCATTTGATGTTCTTCAACGTACTTTTCATTTCTCATCGGAGATATTCTTCGCTTGCAAAAACCGTGTCGAATCTCCGGGATTACGTCGTACTGTTAATCGTGAAATCTATTTTTTAGGATAATATACAATACGCGCGAGCGAATGTTCGTTTTTGATGATACTAGTCATTAATACGATTTTACGATCAATCGGATATGTATAGGGTGCCTTTGATAAAATCATCTCTACAGATTTAATTAATAATTAATAGAAGGATAGAATATTTTTCTGATATTAATTATTTTTTTATCCGAGTAATTATGCTGTTTTATTTCTAAATTAATAATTAAATATTAATTAGCAATCTATAAAGCTCTAACTTCTTTAAACGATTTCATTAATATCTTAAAGTTTTTAATTTAATCTGACTTTTATTTTTCATTAATCCTGTTTGTCGCATATCATTTACAAATTAGCCAAAAAATTTTTTTATAGAAAAAATTATTTTAATATGTTAAGTCTTGAATTTTCTTATATATTTTTATAATATACTCATAGTATATTATATAATATCCGGCATTCATAATCCATTTTTATTTCAAGATCATCTTAAGTAATGACTCAAGATGCTAATACCATTTCATTGGTTCTTGACATCTTAAGATTGTACCTAAGACAGTCTTAAATACCTATAAGAATTAATTATGAATACTGGCCATAATCTATTGAAATGATAACTTTTCTTATTTGATATTTTTTATAATTTCTTGGCAGTATCTTTCTCTCAGTTTCAAGAAAAATATTAGAAATAAATTATACTTAAGCATCCTGTATGTATACATGCGTAATCTTTCCGCGAATATTTCGAACGCGAATGTATATGTGAACGTTGAGTAGTTATTATTTCTTTTAGCAGTATGTCATTTTACTCCTATATACTATATGTATGTTATTTAATACACGAGTAAAGATGTCAAATATTAGTTGAAATATGCATAGAGTAATACATTATACCTTGTAAAAAACATGCCCTCTGTGTATATCCAATTATATATAGATCGAAATATATAATCCATTGTTATAGCTCGAAAGAATTCTTTAAATCCTTCGATCTTATCATTCATCTCTTTACATCGCTATTTACATATCAAAATTCTTTATGTTATAATTTCCTTACGGTTTCTTTGACTTTATTAAAATCAAGAAATGCTCGCGTTCTTAATAATTTTCTGAAAATCATCATGCTTTATTATAAAAGAATATTCCAAAGAAAAACACAATGACATCATCAAAATTCCTTTCTATAGTGAAATTATTACAAGACGCAAATTCTACAAGCCGTAGAATTCGGCACTTATCAATGTACAATCCCAGATAGCACAAAATATTCTATAAAATATTCTTATAAAATATACATGTTCAGAATATTTTAATCGAATATCCTACACATACGTAGAATATTTATTTAGTTAAATTCATATTTATAATAAAAAGAACATTCATAGAATGTTCCTCGCATTTCAAAACTTTATTTCAAGTAAAAGAATTCTAAGTATTTTTATATATGTCTATTTATATATATATATATATATATATATATATATGCCTCATCTTGTCAGCAAAGTTAAAACTGGTACTTGATAGTAACGATAATATATCAGGTATTAAGGTATTATATTATATCAGGAACTATATTGTATAGAGCACTGTTTTATATAATATACAATAGTGTCTGATATATCACGCTTAACAGATCCTGAATCTCGAGGAAAAACATTTCCAGGAACCATTAGGTAAGTACTGCACTTAAAATATATATAGCAGCAAGAAATCGGAATGTTTTATAAATATTGTTATAATTTGCAAATATATTCTCGGCTTAATGCAAAAGGAGAAGCTAATCGATACAATTGATAGGAAGCCAAAAGCTGCGTCCTGCAATAGACTCAACGGTTGAATAAGCACTGTTATTGTATTCTTTTAGATCACTCAAAATTTTAGATCTAAAAGAATACATCAAGAGCTCTCTCAACTGTTGAACCTGCTGAACGCAATGTACCCGTTGTAGAATGTGATTTTAAAATTTATCTCGTTAACGTTTTTTTATATATTGTTTATATGTAATTAAAAAATATATACACAATACAATATTACGTTAAATAACTATGCACAATAGAGATAATTTAGACCGTAAAATTAAATATCTCAATAAACGTTTGTGCAATAATTGTATATATAAATTGTGCATTGATATGACAAAAATATATATGTGTGCGTGTATCATATAAACAATTTATTATATACATTAAACAAATAATGACCGTGCTACGATATACACTGTCAATACTTAAAATCTATGATATATATACCATAACGTAAATTATAGATTTCTTAAAATCTATAGTTAATGTTACAAATAATTATAGATTTTCAAAACTGACAGTATAAATATCGACACGGCTAATATGATCTAAAATTCTAAAATTTATTGTCTAAGATTGCATCAATGTTACTTTGATTTTAAACGAGGTTTAAAATTCTATCTCTTGGCATTAACTAAACTTTTTCTCATGGCATTAAAAAAAGAAGGTTAAAATAATGTTAGTGCAAGGCGTAAATAAATTATTTCTCAGAGAACATTATAGCATTTTAAAGACGTCTAAAGGAAGTCGCAAATGTCTTTTATAAGACATCTGAAAGATGTGAGTCATGATTTAAGACGTCTAAATATAGTGTCTGAAAAACTCCCTAAAGACATAAAGTGGGTCATAACACGTCTTAAAGATCAGGGGAAATAAGCAGTTTTCGTCCATTTTTTACAAATGTTTTAACGCTATCTGATCATTTTGTTTTATCCAAAATTTTGTCTTTATTTACACATAACAAAAATTAACGTGCCATTTCTCATTTTCGATAATTTCAATGTGTGATAATTATTCAGGAAATTATTTAAGATGTTTTTAAAGTATGATTTTCGGACGTCTTTAAGATGTCTTAATGTTGTCTGGGAACCTTATCATGTGCATAAGATTAGGCAGACATATATGAAAATATGTAGAATATAGAACATTGTATAAAATAATATTCTTGTAGCTTCCACGGGTGCTTTCTATATAAAAGTTATACGTTTCGCGGGTTTCCTCCGTGTTCAGATCCATTCTTGAAATACTCAGTATCAGGCTGCTCTTCGCCCTGAAGAAGTGGACTGCAAGGTTCACGAAACGTTGGCATTTCAAAAATGGATCTGGACACGGAGGAAATCCGCGAAACGCATAACTTTTACATTGTATAAAATATTTTATGTATATTCATAGAACAGCTGTATCACTAGAATATATGAACATACTATTAATATTTGCAGTATTTTTAATACATCTACAGAATGTACAAATGTTCTTAATAAATATTTACAGAATGTTCGTATGCTATCTGAGGTTGATTGTAACTTGACTGTAAATGCAGCCTCTCGTAATCACAATTGCAAATGAGTAATTGGCATAAAAGTTTTCCTAACTAGACATAATGCACCATCAGATAACATATTTATTGTGAAGACGGTGCTCTTTGAGACATGGCATTGAACAGAAACGATTGGCATTATATTCGAAAGGCACCTTATCAGTCATATCGATGGCGCATTGGAAGCATCGCGACACCACAGTGTATCCTTCACTCAACATCCGATTCTGTACAATCAAAGCTCTCTACAAGACGAAGAGGAAGAAACAAATCAGATAAACGTCCAATGAAAGAACAAAATTTAAACTATTAACAAAATACACTTTCAATACTTCTATACTTAATATAACATACTTAACCTTTTCTTTATCGCTGAGATTAAGGAATTTCTGCTTCTCGTTTTCCTCTTGCTTCTTCAATTCGAATTCCTTCCTCTTAACTTTCTCCTTAAAGCGTTTCAACTTACGCTGCTGTCTTTTCTTTTCCGTTTCTGCTTGTTCTATCTCATCAGAGAGCGGTCCAGGTATTTGAGACTGTTAATCAAAATACATATGTAAAAATTTATAAAAACTATTTTTTAAGTAGATATATTAATGTAATGTTCTGTTGTGAACAATACTTTTTGATAATTGAACTTGTCCGGGTTAGCTTCCATAAATCTTCTAAACGCATTTCTAGTTTTCTTATCGTTTGCAGCAGCATATGGTGTTTGCAGTTTTTTATTCTTATTGCAAGGGTCAGATCCGATTTCTAGCAGCAACCTATCAATAAATCAAATTACATAACTCAAGATTTCGTTAAAAATATAAAACTTATTCAATAATAATAATATATACGTACCATACTTGCTCGCAATGTCCACCGAGTGCCGCCAAATGCAGCATTGTATTGCCATCCTCATTGGTATCGTTAACCAATTTTGTCACGTCATTCGTGCTCACGGGAGTATTGTTGGACATGACGTAACTGTCTGTGACATCTTTTTTGTTTTGCTCCTCTTCGCACTCCTTAATTTTGGCTAATAAGGTATCAATAACTGATGATAACAGATCGTTATCGCCCCGCTTACAGGCAGTCCATAATTTGATCTTAGCGTCCGACAGCACTTCATTATTCATCTGATCTAAAAATAATATAATATAATACATTAAAATAAAAATATATATTAATGCACTTTTCACTTTCTCTTAATTTTAACATAAAAATCTTTATATTATTTGATTTAAACTGTAAACATTTTCTCAAGTTTTTGAAAAAAGATTATAATTTTAATATACAGAAAAACTTTGTTTATCTGCACTCCATTTATATGAACAAATTCGTGCTTCCAAATATACTCTTAGTTAAGTTCTTATTAACCGAATTACGGATGTATTGTTCGGATAATAAGAGTTCGACGTGTTCAACACTTCAGTTATCTGAATGTCAACTCCAAAATTATTTGAAATATAATTTGAAACTAATAAGTAGGTACTACGAAAGAGGAAAGAACTAGTGAGTCTCTATTATCTGAAACATTCGGAATTGTCTTGTCTTCCGGCATATGCTCTGATAAACAAAGTTCTACTATACCTATTAAAAAAAATGAGACTTACTGTCTTTCTTGACTTTCTTTTTCTGTCGATGAGCTTTCTTGTTTTTCATGTATCTCGGCACAGTATCTTGAAACGCTTGTAAATTCGCCCTAAATGATACCTCAAAATTTTCTTCAGTTAAAAGAACGTCTATTGGAAAATTTGGATCTATTTCGGACTCAGAGGACGACTGAGCTAATTTAACAATTATATCTGTAAAATAGTAAATCTTTCTTTTTAACCTAACAAATATATGTGGAATAATATAAACATAATTTTATGCAAATATTATTTTTAATAATAATCACAGCATATCTGGTGGAGGATCCCAATTAAAAAAGTGGAGAATCTTAATTACTCATATTTCAAATTAATGATATGAACCTGGCAGTGGCCGATTCGGACTTTTCCTCGGCTTCGCTCTATCTATGTGCGGACGAGAATTCCGATGTTGCTTCTCTGGAGTAGATTGCGCAGGTGTCTTAATGTTATCCTGCAGACTACTGAGATTACCGGCATTAGAATTGTATTCCGTAGCAACTTCTCCTTCAGGTATCTCGCTCATGATTTCCGGTTTCGAAACTTTCTTCCGTACGGGCTGTCGCGGAGAGTTGGGGAAACAGTCCGTAAAATCCGCCGCAGAGCCTAGATAGACATGACATTACAAAAATGAATTGTTCGATACAAATTGAATATAAGTTAAATTGAGATTGTGAACAACTATTTTATTATTATTATTATTATTATTTACCATAAATCTCCATGGTGCTCAAAATATCATATACTCTCTTGACTTCTCTAAACGTTGCTCTTCGAGTAGGGAATGGCAGTGGTCTTATTCTAAAATCGTTCTTATCTAAAGGTGGATTCTTGCCACCGAAGAGCACCGTACGATTGTGTGGGCCGACCGCTCGGTACAAAATAGCTGCTGAATTGTTGATGTGCATTGACCATGACTCCAATATCTCTTGTACATGCTAGAATCGTTACGTCAGCTTGCAACTTGTCAGTTTAATTGACTATTAAATAACTCATTAATCTCTAGCGAGATGTGTAAACAGAATGTACCTGAATAAGCGATGCTTCGTTATATCTTCGCAAACTAGCACCAGCGCTTTTCGCGTGATTACCATTTGTACGAGAATTTTGAGCGAAGCCTTGTTTTGCTCGCACGGTATAAGAATGAAAAGTCTTGTGCACGATAGGCTCACCATCTGCGATACACCAAAGCGAATGAATATAATAATTGTGCACATCATCAAAATATTCTTAAGAGTAGTACATACCCTGAAATACTGCCGCGGCGAAGTGTCCACCACCGACCATGATAACCATCCATTTGGACTTTCTGCCGCTGTCCAGTGCCTGAGCGATCATCTCGGTGTCTTTTTCGGGAATGTCCTAAAACGTAATTGCATATCTCCCGATCTGGCAAGTACAGAGCACGCCAAGCGACTCTAACAAAGTAATCAATTTTCAAAATGATACTTCGTGTGCAAGCATATATCTTCCAAGCATACGTAACAGTAGACTTATTCTTTTTAGCTAAACTTTTTGCAGCGTTTACTTTTCCTCTTTTTATCTTTACGTTGTGTTAGAAAAAAAGGAGGAAAAATGAACGGTGCAACAAGTTCAGCTGAAAAGAATAGACTAACAAATAATAGTGCATTAGTTTTTACCATTTTAATTGACGACAATCCTGCTAACGATAACAAACACACCTTTTTATGATGCAGCAAACACCTGTAGATACTAAATATATTGCCATCATCGTTCTCGAAAAACACCTTGGTGTGACGACTTGCGACAACCTGCAGCTTTCGTTCCTTGGACATTTCCTCGTTGTACTCAGTGTCCGAAATGTCTGACTCGATTACCTTCCCGCGTCTTTCTGACGTCTTTCTGGACCTGCCAAGTCCAGTCTTACTTGACGACTCATTCTTGATTTGATCATTAGATGAAGCCCCAGTCTCCGAAGTACCAGCATCGTCATCGTTCTCGGACTCTACCTCGCTACCAGACAGGCTAGACATATCGCCTATAAAATTCCCACATGTCTAACTATTTTTGCATCGTCTTAAAGCTCGCCGTGTACTTCATCTCAGACTGTACCTTCGCCGGCCAACTTATTGAAATTGTCCTCACTAATTGATTTCAAACCATTCAGATGTTGCTTCAGATTGTAACGATGCCAATCCAGCTTGTAGTGGAGTCTCTGTTGTACCTTGTCTTCAAATTCGGTATTACAATAAGAACAACACAAAGAATCGGATACCACCAGCTCACATATTATCTGCTCGCTATCAGGTACTGCAAAGCAGAGGTGAACTCCACATATGAAATCTTGCTAAACTATTGGCTATTTCCTATTTTTCTCACGCATATTGAAAAATTAAAAATGACCTTGCTATTTTTTTAAGATAATCTCATCAAAAAATAATATTCAATTTCCCTCAATTCGTACAATTAAGTTTTTTATCTTTGTAATGGCCTAAAGAGATCCAATGTCATTAATTTTCTGAGAGAGGGAGAAGAGATTAATATCATAATCCAACTGATTATATTAAAGACACAAACTCAAAGTTTTCACTGTAATCTTTAGACTCTATTTATATCAATGTTATTGTATTACGTATTTTTAATATAACTGTGAATTCTAGGAAATAGAATATTAATGTGAAAAAAAATCCTCATTATACCAATCTTATAACAACACGTTAAGTGATATTAAATCATAATATTCTCAAAATACATGTTCTCATAATTTTAAATAAAATTTAAACAAAGCCTTTAAACCAATAAGCATAATTGTTTCAAGACAGTATCCAAAAACATATGGCATTAGATTGTATGACTTTTTTGTTATCTCCTACAAGAGAGAGATAACAAAAAAGGTCATACAATCTAATGCTTTAAATAAGAGCAAATATTTACACAAATTTTTTCCTATTAACAATTGACAATATAAAAACAGGTGCATATAACGTACAGTACAGTACACAATAAATACATTTTATTAAATTAACTATTATTAAATGATATCTACTCTCAGCGTAATTGTTTCAAGAGAAACAGTTGCGCTTCTCTAGAACATGAACTTGCTCAGTGTCCTTCGTGTCTTGACAAACGTCACATATGTAAGCTATCCTTCCTAGCTGCACCTTCTTTCCCAATCTGAACGTTCATCTCCGTCTCGCTCTAAAGGCGGAGCTCTTATTCTGATCTTAGCGAAAAATAAATAAACATACGTTTCTCGCATTCCTGCGTCTTGTTAAACATTTACAAAACCAGATTCACAGCTCTGAGCTCACCGTAAGTCGACGGTGACTGCATGCACCGTGCAACCTTAATTCCCTTGGTGATCCGGCTGAAGTCATCCTGGTTGTGGATCTTGTAGAGCTGATTTGCCGTTTTCGCGGCATCAGTCATGACTTCGCCAGACGAACACGTCTCATTCGCCATCGTGAGAAGAGATCGAAGGACAACGGCAGAAAATCGGTGGATGGGAATAAGAATTTACTGGAATTGGCGAACGATGCAGTATACACAATGCGTACTGACCGTTTCGTCGCCTTCGCTTTACAACTTGCGCATGCTTGCGCAAGTCTCTCGCGATTGCGTCATCGTCGCGTCGTGCGCCAACATGTCGCCGTCAGGCGGGACATTTGAACGAAATAAGAAACATACATAAAGTGCGAATGTATATTCAATGTTTATTGAATAGCATTTCGTTCTCGCGAACGCGGGAGAACATACTGCGTGTACAGCGATATTAATAAGGCGCAGCTTACACAACTATAAATATCCTTTCTTCTTTTTTTAAATCGTTTTAATCGTTTAAAAAATAAAATATTCTTTTAGCGCATTTCTGTTACGTTATTTTTGCAATAATCAGAAAGGACGACGCTTTTATCGCATAATAAACCTCTAGAAATTATCTTATTCTTCTAATCTTATTCTAGTTCGCACTGTAACTTCTATATAATAATAAATGTATCACTTTTTGCGCACCTTAATATTTGTAAAGTATTTTGTAATTTTTATAAATGTTTAGAATTAAAAGTCGTAGTTTCGAGCTTAATATTTGAAAAATTGAAATTGTAATAGACTCGTCATTTAAGTCTAATATTTGTTGAAATAATTTAAGTATAAATATAGACGAATGGTCCTCAGAAACGTGTTTTTCTTCGTATATTCTTAGCTGCCAATGAGAAAGACTTCACCATTTTTATAACATTCAGAATGACGCATTGAATATGAGATATATTACTCATATAGCCTCACGTTTCTGCTATTTATATTCATTCTTATATAAGCAAAAAATATATATATATATTCTGCGTACATAAATTAACTATATCTTACAACACTTACTTTAGCCTATCAATAAATATGCCCTTTCAGATTATCAATCAGTCTTAAACAGTAGCAATAAATAACTATAAAATTTGGAGGAGGTATGGAACAATCTGCTTTGTACTTTGACCTTTTTGGTTGTTGCATACCGCGCAACCAAAGTACTTGGTTTCAATAACTTACTGCACATTGTGCCATTAGTAACGCCTATTAATATACATAGAAGCGGAATAAATTCTTTATGTGCTAATAGTGAGTTTCGTTCGAAGTTTTTCACATTTTAGAAAATGTATTCCTGTGCATTTTTCGCTCAATGAGCTTTTAATTCTTGCTTAAAGCTACTTACGAAATCGAATAATATAGTAATATGTTAATAGAAAAAGAGCTACAAAATACTAAGACTTTATCAATAGTAGGCCTTATTCGCATATAAAAGCCATTCATAAATAAACGTGCTACCGATGACATAAATTAGTGAATTAAATAAATAATACTATATAAATAGACAAACAGAGAAAAATAGAATTATAAGTAAAATCGATAACGTTTCCACTGTGTTAAAGACACATGTAGATAAAAAATAATATCCCATTTAGCGCACCAACTAAATAATTTATCTGTATCCTTGAACTGCCATGTATCCTGAAATAAACAACATTAACAGATATAAATCGCGTTATGTTTGCAATTTTTCAAGCAGCATAAAAAATATAAAATTTATCTACTTATTCTAATAAATTAATGAGCAATAGAAGATATATATATTTTTGTTTTTATATTTAGATTTTTGTACGTCAATCAATTATACATTGTACAATAAAAGATGCATATCTAAAATTTATAAAAGTTTTACTCTCTAAAGCAAGATTTGTATGGAACTACTATAATTGAATTGGATAAATACTGTAATTAAATAGAGAAACCAAGAGTCTACCTCTGTTTGGAAGGACTGAAAGGAGACGGTGGGTTGATACCGGGTATACTGCTGTCCTTGTAAAGAATAAACCAAGTGAAACCTGTTATCACAAGTCCGCTCATCGTTGCTTTTAACAGCCACCCAAATCTGCTGTAAAATGCTATCAGCATATTAGGGGTTGCTCCTGCGTTCTGATTGCCGGTGTTCAAGAGCTTTTCGTTATCCGTCGGCAATTGTTTCACATCAAATTTCGATAAAATGTCGGACATACTCGGTATTGTTTCGTACATTTGCGTAAATGCTACCGATGGCAAAGAGTATCGATCGCCAGCTTGCCATGATAAAAGCTTTCCTGAGGGCAGAGCATGAGAAACTCATATCAGCCACATAAATCTCTTGAAAGACAGAGAGAGAGAGAGAGAGAGAGAGAGAGAGAGAGAGAGAGAGAGAAAATTATAGAGCTTTTATAGATTACATTAATTTATAAAGAAAACATTTAAACTAAATTATTATTCTTTTTTGAAATTAATATTATAAATAATTTAATTTATACTCATAAGTTTTTAATTAAATTATAAATATATATATATATATATATATTTCAATTGAAATATAATATTATAAATTCTAAATAAAATGATATTATATATTACATTTATATCCCGCGTAAAATTTTCTAAGTTTATGTAAAAGTAATTAATTTAATTAAATGATAAGAGGAGATAAAAGATAAGATAAATAAAGAAGTTCTCTCTTTAGTTGTCTTTTCTTTTTTTATGATTGATCAGGCATGTACTTTTAAAACGACGACATGGCCTTGACAAATTCGGTCATGGGCGACGCAGATCTCGTATAATAAATGCATGAGCGAGGAAGGTGGAGAGGATCGAAGGACTCGCGTCGTACGGGAAAAGATGATCTCATAATAGAAATGGGCCACGCGCCTCGGTAAAAATATAACCGAAGAATGCAGACTACATGTGCATGACATGTGCATTTTAACACGAGTTCGGAGCCCGCACATTTAAATGATAAAACTCTTGGAAAGCGCCGCAGGAATATAATCATCGGTTATCTCTTCATCTCTTGTACAATGCACGATGCAATGTGTTCTCTGAAAGGAATAAAGTTCACGGAATAAATTGTTAATTTTTGGGCCAAGGAATAATTCGTTTATTGAAATCAGAATAGCAACTAGAGAATCGTCTGGTTTCCTAAGAGAACAGGACGGGACGCTGATTCATAGCGATACAATATCAAATTTACATAAATGAACAAATGACTTTCGTGATCCGAGTTAGGTTTTTGCTTTAAAGCAGTTAATATTATATAAATAATTTAAGAAATATACAGATTAATAACAAATAATAATTAGATAAAGCAACTTAACAAACGACTGCCTGGACAAATTATTGCCGAAATGTATTAGATTTATTTCTTTCGTCTGTACGTTTTTATCTATTAGAAACAAAACTCACGCAATTTCAGATAACGTGAAACATTCCAGTAATATTGCAGCAACGTTGCAACGCTGCTGGAATATTACTAGAATGTTTTATGCTATCTGCGATTGTGAATTTTTGCGAAAAATAATTTGTTTAATAAAATCATAACAGAAACGAGAATTGTCTAGTTTTCGAGCGTCCTACTATCCGTATCAAACTAGACATTGAAATTGAATTTAAGCAATTAGAAAAAAGAGAACTATATAATATCAACTAATATTAAATAAAATAGATCAAGAAATGTTTAAACATAAATAAGAGAGAAGAATGCCTCTTTCAAAGCATCTTGATAATATTGCTTAGTAATATTTATATATAAATATACAAAACAATAGTTATACTAATATTTAGTTTAACGAACTTTGCTTTGATTAGTCAAATTCAATCTCAATCTCTACTCTGATAGAGGCATAAAAGAATGAGATGGGACACCAATTTATAGCAGTACAATTTATAAAATTAATATAAACAAACAAATGATGTTTAGATCGTGTTAAGTTCTTGTAGCATTAATAAGTTAATATTACATAAATTGGAAAGCATGAACAGTTAATATCACATAAATAATTCTAGAAATACCTACATGACTTGCTGACAATAAATAATAATTAGAACATAACAGGCAAATTAACAAATGATCACCTGGTCAAATTATTATAGAAATATTAGATCTGTTTTTTTCAGCTACATTTCTACCTCTCCTTTTTTATTAAAGAAACAATCACTTGCCCATGCTATGAAAGCAGAGAAAGAGAAAGGCAAACATGTAGAAAGGCATAACTGAGAAGAACATATCCAATAATATAAGTGTACAGAAAATATAATCAGAGAAATTACAGAGCTAATTTCCGTTTCGGAGCTTATCACGTTTTGACAAGAGACAAAATAAAAGTAAAATACAGGAGACAAAATAAAAGTAAAGTACATATTGGCGTGCAACGACACAGGCTTCCCCTCGAGACGGATTCGTATCGTCGGCAATCCCGCTTCCAATGTAACCAAAACAAAAACTTGTGTATACGACAGATTGAACGGGTATGTCCTACCGGCGACGATCTACTGTCGTTCGCGTGACAACGATTCTCTCCTCGTGGAAGCGATTCAGATCGCTAGGAACGTCCCTTTCAACAGAATCAAAACAGAAAGTGTACGTTTAAATTAACTTAAATAATACGTTTAACCTCAATTGAGATTCGTGGACGCGCGAACGGAAGCTTGGCATCACGTCCGATCTCGGGAGGTAGAAAGATTCAGGTAAGTGACGTGCTGATTTAAAAGAAATTGAGAAGAGCAAGACGTCCGAGCGACTCGTGTTTACCTACCACAATAATTCAGGTACAGCTTGGCCACAATGATGGCGAGCGAGAAGGTAAAGAGCATCAGACTGAACGTCCACTCGTTCACGCGAATCCTCGACCATAGGTTCGCTGATGTCGATTTTTGGGTCTCGGCAAGATTTCCACTGCCATTCGTTAGTGGTGTCGAGCCAATTCTCGACTTGAACATCGTCATCGTCGGCATCGCCATTCGCGTCGACATCGCTCGTGATGATGGGTCGGAGTCATGCGCATACACACGCACATCCAAACACGCCAACAGTCCGCGACACTCTAGTGACACAGTAATGACAGCCAGTCGCCGTTGAGCCGCTTCACCCGCTCGCTTACCCGCTTCCAGCAGCTTCCAAAAATAAAGGTGATCAAGCACGGGTGTGTGCGAACGCGCACGCGCCGTCCGTCTCTTCCGCGTACATCAGGGACGTACGCTCCATGAGAGACTCTAGTGCCTGTATTCTAAGGGAGCAGAAACACAAATCGACACAAGAGTCTTTATTTCTAACTGATTATTGAACAAGGATGACCCTTGTGTCAATTTGTCTCTTGCTGGAAAGCTCTCATAAGCCCAGTTTCACAACTCATGATTAACTCTTAACTGAGGTTTAACTTATTCTTCATCTCTTTCTAATGCTAGAATTGGAAAGAGATGAGAAATAAGTTAAATCACGGTTAAACGCAGTTAACCGTGAGTTGTGAAACTGAGTCATAGGTATTCATAGTCAAATCTTATGTTCAAGACCGTCTTAAAAGTTCAGTCTTAAGAAGTCACGAACCAAGGGATCAGAGGGCTGTATTAGCATTTTAAGACTTTACGTAAGATAGTCTTGAAATAAGAACGGACTATGAATATACTGCCCATAGCCAGACTTTTTTTCTCGTATTCATAGTCAGACCTTGTACTTATGGCTTTCTTAAATTTATCTTTAGATGCTCAGTAGTCAATGAAATAATTCGTAAAATATCTGAAGATAAATTTAAATATAAGGCCTGACTATGAATACGGGCATTTGTACTTAAGGCTTCCTAAAATTAAATAAATTTATCTTTAGATGCTCAGTTATAGATCCACCCAATTAGAACAATAAGTCACCATAACAAACTGACATTAAAATGAATCAGAAATGATTGAAAAATGACTTTTAATAATCATTTTGATATCATATAAATAACTTGTTGTTCTGCTTGGGCAATTATAAAATAATTCGTAGAGCATCTGAAGATAAATTTAAAGAAGCATTAAATATAAGGTTTGACTGATTAATACGGACATAAGTCTAGAAGTCGATCATGTAATTTTTTTTTCTTAGAGCGGAAACGTGAAAAATGTAGAGAAAAAGTTACTCAATATCCTATGCTGAATTTCTTGTATAGTTAATCTCTTTTCTCTTCTTATTTTCAACATGAAACGAAAAACAGCAGAGAGAGAGAGAGAGAGAGAGAGAGAGAGACTGTATAAGAAGTTTAGCTAAAAAGAACAAGTCTATGGTTTCCATAATAATAGGAATTTATAATAGGAAAGAAACATAGCGAACGTAAAGAAAAGAAAAACCAATTGTAAGATCAATAATAATCCAAGTAAAACACAAAATTATAATAAGATTAAGATAATGTCAGATTGAATTCATTTTAAGAAAAATCGTAATGATGATGTTATTTTAGTTTTATATTACTTTTGATGATAATTTTTTGATAAATTCTTGATATGATAATTATTTTTAAATGATTTTTAAACTATGTTTTCTTGAAAAAATTCTTGCATTCGTGAAAGTCATAGAGTTATCAGGGTCAGTTTTATCAAACTCCGATTAACTTAATTTATAAGCACTATTTTATTAAATAATACGAATAAAATAAAATAAATTAATAAAATTCTATGTATAACAAAAAATTAAAAACTGTATATTAGAGATTGTCTTAAGCGATTCTGCCGATCAAGTTAATTGTCGATTAGGTTAATCGGAGTTTGATCAAAATCGCCTAATGTCCACCTCTATGTAGATTAACCTTAATCTCGGTTTAACTTACTTTTTATCTTGTTCTATTTCTAAGAATCATGAAAAAATAAAAAGTAAGTTAAACTAAGATTAAAGTCAATCTACATTGATTGAAATGGACATAACTTAAGCGATGCTCGCATTATTTTGTTTACACAGAGAATGGAATAACTTTTTTATTCCATATTCAATTTTTGGGTAGCGATTGTGTAGTTTTTTTTTCTTTAGGATGGAAACATAAAAATTTTGCCATTAAAAATAATGGGAAAAAACTTCACTTTTCATTCCCTACCTTTAGGAAAACGTTACATGAGATTTGTTGTTTTTAATTGAACTTCTTGCATCTCGTTTAACTTTCCTGCTTTTTTCTTCATCGCCGAGAGAAAAAAGAGAAAATAAACAATGTAAAAAGTTCAACAAAAAAGAACCTGGGGTTGTATTCTTGAAAAATATTGCGTACAAAAATATACGAAAATATTACAGTATATATTACGTAAGTTATAAATTTCCTAATATTTTCGTATACGAAATATATTTTTCAAAAATACAGTCCTTGGTTAACTTGATCGCTATATCGCTATATTTATTTGCGAATCGATTCGCGAATTCTAATCACCCATCACTGAACGTTTCAGTATGAACAGCACTGCTACGCACCGTCATCGACCGAGGTGGGGACGCGGGAAGCAGCACTGCAAGCTGAAGATGACCGCATTCGCCGCTCGCGCGAGATAACGAAGTTGGTCGACAGTGGGACGTGCGCCGAGCGAACCAACCTTACCAACCCGTCAACCGTCAGTGGTGCGCGTGGATCGGTCGCGCGCGGTAGTAGCACGTGGTGATTAACAAAGTGCGGTTTGTTACAATCGTGAGCATTGCGTGCGGGCGAACGAGACAGATATGGCAAGCCACGACGTCGGCATCGGCGACTTCGTGTTGCTGGACGAAATCACGGTCGAGCGCGTGGTGGACAACCTTAAGACAAGGTGCGTACACTCCGGAGTACCGACGACTCCGCTCTGAAATTTGCAGACGCGATTCTTGACAGGTGGACAGCGGGGAGCGCCCCGCGCTGTGCGAGGCTCGATTCGTCCCTGCGCCCGCGAGAGGGCGTGGCTTGTGCGTTGGCAGGTGGTCGCCTAGAGATAGTGAAGGGTTTATTTGTCCGTGAAGTCTCTATCCCCCGAAGAGGCTATCATAAGATCTTTTGATCCAAATTCACCGCATGGTACTGACTCAGATGACCTTTTATGTTGGGTCGGAAATCCGAATAGGAGAATCTTAAGAAGAAGAAGAAGAAGAAGAAAAAGAAGAAGGGTTTACCTTCTTTCATTCTCCTTATTTCAAACCGAACGGAGAACCGTTTTGGAGATATTGGAGATTTGTAGACGACCGATCGATCATGCATTTTTTATCAACTTTCCATTTCGAGAAACGGGGTTCTCGAACTTATTACCTTATTATTTATATTATTACTTAGTGAAAGTGAAGATAGGCGCGTGAAGCAACATTTAGAATGTTTCGAATGTTACAAGTTCCTAACGTATCTTGAACTTGACCCGCTGAAGGCGACGACAACGTTCGGGGAGACGTCGTCGAAGTCATTTCCACCGGACAGCCTTGGTCAGTTAATTCTAGCTACTGATGGTCTGTGTTTTTGTGAGGATCGGGTACGCAAGGCTGAAAGCGCGACGATGAAATTTACAGCGACTCCAAAATAATTTCTGCATCATCATATATTTTAATCTTTAGAGAGTAAAAGTGAGGAAATTGTTATATATAACAATAAATTCTGCATCATCATATATTTTAATCCTTAAAGAATCAAAAGTGAGAAAATTGTTATAATATATACAGCGATTCGCAGAATTTTTTTCATTTGATGACGTAAGTCGGTGCAAGTGTTGTTCTTTGTTACTCACGGAATGTCAAGAAAAATAAATTTATGTTTTTATCGACTAGTGTCATTAGAAGGAAAGCACCTTTATATTTTAGAAGGCGAATCTAGAAATACAAAACAGAATAATAGAAAAACAAAAGAAAATATAAACAAAATAAAATATGAACATAAGTTTTTTCATTTTTCAAATTAAAAATAAATTGAAGGAAACATTGGAAAAAAATGGAGCATCTTTGATATAACTTGATGTTTAATTCACATAATTATATGATTTTAATGTAAAAATCAGACGCTTTTTAATCATATTTTCTATGAAATACGCATCACGTTATTTTATTTCGAGATTTTTAATTGTACGTAAATTAATTTTTCCTTTTAAAGCACAAAACAAATCAAGGGAAAAATTAAAAAATGTTTTTTTTTCATTGTTGGATTATTATTAGATTGTTTGTTAATAGGATATATTTCACTTTTTAAAAGAAAACAATATATAATTGAGAAACACACGTAGTACATATCGAAAAGCTATAAATCTTAGAAGTAATTTATTCCAGTTTGATTAACCAGTTCGAAGTAATCTCGTGTTTCATACTTTCATTTTCATTTAATGATTCCAGTGACAACTTTTCCCAGACCAGTTGCACCGACACTAATTATTACTTAACTGGATATCACTTTTCCGCATTACAGGCGAGACTGTAATTTAAACATAACTGACTAATATAATGAGTTATCAGATCATTGCGTAACTACAGTTGAATTCTAGATGACAGCAATAATTAATGTGCGACCGGTTGTTAATCAGCGTTAACTATAACTAATTCGTCTTTTTTGTACCTTGGTAGATAAAGCTATAACACAGAATTAAAAATAGCGAGATTAGCAAATTAACTTACATTAGTTAATTGAAACAATCGTTGTAATTTCATTGTAATTTTATTGTAACGCGTCATAGACAGTCATAAACTTATCTTTTTTTTTCGCGAAACTAAATTTTCTCCAAACAAAAATTCGGTGTCTTGTTGGAAAGATATTTAACTCTGTTGGTCTGTTAGAATCTGTTTTATCTAAAATTTAATTAATTTTTTTACTAATATTTTATTTAAACTTTTTTTTCTGATATATTTGATGACTTCTATTAATGTAACATCTTTTTTTTTAGAGCTTTTTAATCATGGTACGATCGTTTAGTATTTGAACAAACCACAGGCTTAATATCGAAAAGCATATTTCGCTAAATTGAATCTAAATCGATAAACAATTATTAATTAATTTTCAATATAATTTATTGTCTATAAACGAGATCTTTATTTTGCCAAATTATGTTTCCAGAGATAAATGACGATTTAGTTGAGCATCCCTTCGTAAAGGGATCTTTATTCTGTCTCGCTGCCAAGTTTTCTGAATAATTTCCAAAGATAAATAACGAGCTGATGAGCCTAAATACGCGTGCGAGTCGAGAAAATCGTCGCTTAGCATCGCAAAAAAAGAACACGTCAAGGCAACTACTCCAATTTACTGTATCGTGTGTATCGTGAGGAGCATGGAATTACATATCACACTGTGAGCAACTGAAGCAATGATATTATACCTGTTGCACGATTGCGTGGGTGTATCATTTTGAGGATAAAGGGCACGTGTACTCACGCAACACGTACGTTGCGTGCATACGCCGCGAAGTTGCACAAAGACCAAAGTCAAATAACATAATTTAAGATAAAGCATACATTCTTCCCACAATTGTTAGTGACTCAGAGAATGATGACTTTATAATTGTAAACATTTTTTTAAATGTTTCTGAAATCTGAATAACTTCATAATACACACAGAATATTCTATTGTTGATAGCTCAGTTTTTTTTTCTTTTAGGTATCTATTATTTTTAACAAAGAATATTTTCTTGATAATGGTTTTACAAATTTTTAGAAAAACTTATTATTATATACTCAAAGCAAGAATTTAGTTTCTTTCGACAAATATTTTATAAAATTTTATAGAAGAAGCTACTTTATATAATAAGCGAATCGAATTTGTTTTGATTTAATAATCTTGATTGAAATATTAAACTTACTGAGATTCAAAACATATTTAAATAAATTTTATGTTTGTGATAGATTTGCAGATATATGAACTTTTGAAATACTTGAAAAAAGTATATAATTAAGATTTAAATACAAAATATGTACTCTTTTCTGTGTATGCCAAAAAGATACCAAAACATCAATGATTTGTATATCTTTGATATTCGTAAATATTTTCTGTCCAATATACATATGAAGATATTGTATCTTTTATGCAAGTTACAAGCTTTTTTTTGAAAATAGAACCCAGAGGGTAAGATTTATAGGGTAAGATGACATTCGTTATTTTGATCCAAAATAACATCTTTGTTTTCTTTTGATTTTTATGTCAAAATAATGATGTCAGCTTGCTACTATATTTTTTATGCTTTGTATGTAATTACTACGCTGGACTGAGATTTGAATTCACTTATAGCACTCGAAGATTAATGATACACAATGCATGACGCATATTTCTTGGAAAATGTATAGATATGTATGAGTGAAAATGAATTACGCGCTCTGATTCATCGTATACTCTAGACATATTACATGAAATCTTAAATAGATCTACATGGTAGATTAAATCAAATTAAGCACGGAGGAATCAAGTATAATATAAATATCTGATTGAATAATGAAACTCAATGAGGAATCAATCATTTATGTATGTGAACATATCCAATTAGATTGATATGAATTACAAAAATTAAATAATTATCTAAAAATAAATCATATCAAGAATATATTATAAAACATTTAATTTTAAGAAACAGGCTGAAGATTTGAATTACGTTTCGAAAAATTTGGTTTATATATAAATCTATAAAGAGCAAAACAAGACTTTCTTTCTCAAATTATGATTATGCAAATGAATTGCTAAGCATTATCTTGTTTATCATAACATTATATTATCGAGTAATCTGGTTAGAAAGTTTTTCGGGAACTGTCATATCAGCTTTAGACGATTAGATCCATATCTTTCCGATAGCTTGTACCTAAAAAATAATAGGCGAACCCGTTTGAAACTTATTTCAAAGCTAGATTTCAAACGGGTTTGCCTATTATTTTTTCCTGCAAACTTTAAAACTATTAACACAACCCCGGCTATTCGCTAAACTGCAACTTTCACTAGAAAGAAGAAAAAGAGCGTATACAGAAAATCCTACGTAAAGGTCTTACGTTTATTTAACATTAAATAGCAAATCGTACTCGTGATAAAAGAAACTTTTCTTTTTTTTTCAGAGGCAGCATCTATGAAGTAATGATTTCATGTAAAGAGTGATTCTTTTCTCCTGGCAGTTTTAACGATTTCACCAAGAGAAAGATTCGGAATTAGAAGTCTCAAACGATTGTGTTATGATAAAATGATTAGTAATTAAAGTACAGTACAAAAAGGATATGTATAACAATTAAAGAAAGTCTTGGTTTGTTTTTTAAATGTTTTGCTCATTGTATGATCTCTAATTTAATATTTCGAATTGTAATTCAAGTCCTTTTAATTTATTCCTTAAAATTAAGTTCAATGCAGACTGATTGTCCACAAATTGATACATGGGTTGAGATTTTATTTTTATCGATTTATGTCATCATTTTAGACGACGACTCATGTTATCCGACGCCAACGCGAGCTGAGAAACACACGAGGGCAAGCTCGTTTAGCGGTAAATTCAATGACGAGAAAATGAGCGTTCGAAGACGCGTATCCTCGAATATATGTACACGACGAATGTATGCGACTCGCGTAATCCTTATCGGGGCTCGTGTCGGCGATGCGTCATCATCCTTGAGTTGTTGCATAGTTTTCAGATTGTGCTCGCGTCATCCCTACGAAACTTGATAACAGTCAATAATTAATTATGATATAATAATTTTGGTAAAAGTGAATGAATATTAAATGCAAACAAGAGCAGTTAAAAAATGTGATTAACAATAAAAATTA